CGTCACCAGCTCTTCCCACTCTGTCTGGCAATAGAAGTCCTTGGATTTCTGGCGGCAGCCGAAGAACAAGCAGTTCCCTGCAGAAAGCAGACCAGAAGGGCCGTGCTGGGTGGACCAAATGCTCTGTGAACATTGGGGACCATTGGTGCCCATGGGACCCACAGCAGAGCCCCAAGGTTCTCACCTCTTTGCCAGGCCTGGCTGACAGCCCTGGCCTGGAAGGGCCAGGAGGAGTCAGGAATTGTGTGACCATTAAGCCAGGTGGCTTGTGGCAACTAGAAGCTCCTGTGTGCTGGGAAAGCAGGAGGTGGGGGGCAGGTAGGGCAAGAAGAGCCCTCCAGGGCTGCCTGTTCCCCTCCAACAGACTCCGCTTCCTGCTAGCTGAGCCAGGTGAATGAGGATGGGACAAGGGCAGAGACACGACTCCTTGTGCAGCAGAAGACAAGTTCCACAACCCATCTCCACTCACAGAGAGCCAAGAAAGAGCCTCTGCAGAACCCTTCCCTGACCCAAGGAGCAGCCTGGCAGCACAGCCTGTGAATAACCACACAGGTTGCACACACCAGGCTCTGGTCCTCACCTGCCCCAGAGCCCAGCTTGCTCCCACTCAAACACAGCAAAGCCTGAGCCTGTCCAAACCCTCAGGAGCCCCCAGTCCCTCCTTCCCATATGCTGAACACAGACCCACCTGCAGCAAGGAGCATCCCGAGTCCCTCCCGGGACCATCCCTCACCTCTACATCCTTGTGCCACCCGCTCCTGTATCGCTGCTCGGAAAGGTGCCACCCCTGTGCCAGGGCCAATCATGATCACGGGGGTGTCAGGGTCAGCTGGGAACTTCATTCCTCCTTTCTTCACCCAAAGAGGCACCCGGACATCACCTGCAAAACAAACAGACTGACTAGCATCACCCCACCACCACTGCACCTGTGACACCCTGCGGAGGGTAAGCTGGGCACCCAGCTCTTCCAGGATGCTCAGAAGATACGGACGGCACCTGGCTTACCACCACCCTGGCACCAAGGCACTCCTGGTGCCATGGGCACACTATGTGTGTACGAAAAGCACTTCAGCTGTCTCAGCACTGTCTCTGCAAGCACCTGAGTGAACCCCAGAGCAAGGCAAGAGTCCCACAGCACACGGGCCGTGGGACAGCCTTCTCCTCACACAGCTGGTGCCAGGGAAGACAGCAGTAGAGGCGAGTAGAGATCTCAGCCTGGCTGTCAAGTAAGGGAGGGCCAAACTTGCCTCCTCTGGAAGCCAGAGGAGGGGTGAAGATCCCCGTCTAGGTACTCAGAGAAGACCCAATCTTGCCCTGGAGTCATACAGAGCAATTCTCTACCATCCTATAGCAGGGAGGCCCTGTGAGCTTGTCACATTTGCCTGGGGACCCACAGCTGGAGGGGTTTTGTGATTAGAGCAGTTGAGCAGCACACACAGGCTTCACAGGACAGGATGGATGTACTCAAAGGAAGGACCATTCTTCCCAGAGCTGGTGCTATGGGGCTCGAGGTGTCCAGCAGTCAGAGCACTAGCAGCTCCAGGATGCCAGGAGCAGCCCACTGTGGGACAGCGGGGCACACTGGCGCTGGGAGCAGGAGGGTCGAGCAACTGGGAGAAAAACAGGAGCTCAGGGCAAGCTGGAGGAGCATGCCATGCTCTGAAGAGCATAGGAGCAGTGAGGAAGGATGGCTACTGTGAATTCAGCCTGCCCGGCCAAGCCAGCGCGCTCCAGCTCCCTGTGGTGGTGGTCCTCCACCCAGGGTCCATGCAGTTCCAGCACATGGCCAGCACGCATACAGCTCCACCACTGTCCCGTGGGATCAGCACTGTGTGCTGTGGCAAGCACACAGAGTCCTCACAGAATCCAAGCAATGTTACCTTGCTCTGGGTTGAGAGAAGCCAACCAGGTAGAGCAGAGACCACGGCGGGGTTTGCTGAGCCGTGTCTTGTACCGCACTACTGCCATGAGGATCTGGATCCGGTCAGGGTGAGCCTGTGTCCAGACAGGAGCCATGAGAAATGCGAAGACACCCAGCACGGCTCTGCAGGAAGAGCCCAGTGCCTCCTCCAGGGACAGAGCCTGGGCTCAGCTCCTGCCAGAGCATCTGCAACACTCATCCTAGTCTGAAATGGCCGCTCAGACACAGAATGCAGCACACCCTTGCCCAAAACTTTTCCACTGGGGAAGGGGGTTTTCCCAAACAAGCACTGCTGCAGGAACGCTCTGCACAGCTGGCAGTGGCGACAGAGACTGTCCAACCCAAGAGGCCACCACGGAGGGCAAAGGCCATCCGTGCTTGGGCTGATATCTGCCAAGCCACCCGGGCCAGGTCCCACTGCCACCTCCTGGCAGCAGCAGGAAGCAGCAGTCCCCCTTCCCACGGCCACACCACTCAAGGAAGCTCCCAGCCTCCATGGCATCACCTCCCACTGCTCCCCCCGACAAGGACGTCAGACCTCTGCAGTGCACTGGGCCAGCCCTGGCACTTGCAGGGCTGCAGGAGGGCAAGCACCCTAATCCGGAGGCTGGTACAGCCCTGGGGTTTACATCCAGCATGTCGGGCTGACGCAGGCTCACAGTGGAGCGGGTGTTTGGATGGGACGTGGGTGCTCAGGGGGTCTGGGAACACAGCCTGAACATCCGCAGCGTGCATGGCACCAACGGTCAGCCCTGGCCCTGCAAGATCTCCAGCTCAGAGCCTGACATGAGGCTGAAAAGGGCTGAGCTCTTACCAGCATGGAGGAGGCGATGGAGAAGGCGCGGGGTCTGATGCGAGGGATGAGGTCCAGCAGGTATTCGGGTGGAATGGCACACGTAGTGTGAGGGAAATCCCAGAGGGCCTGCAAAGCCAAGGCGAGGTGACACCTGGTACACCCCAGAAGGCAGCCTACCTGCTTCTCAGGGTGTCAGAGTCTGTCCCACACTGCTGTGCCACGCTGCCCTCGACCGAAGGCACCACGCTGGGTACCTCTGAGCACCAGCCGGACTGTCCCACTGCCCTCCCCTCGCCCCCAGGCTGCAGCACAGGGCCCACCACAGAGCCCAGAAGGATTTGGAGGAGGTCTTAACCACCCGTGGAAATCCAAGAACACTTCAGAAAGTGGGTGAAGTGTGAATTCCCCAGCCAAGAAATTATGGCCGATTATCTGCCTGGGTGCTTTATGCCACGGCACAGCCCTTACGGAGTGAGTCTGCCATGCTCCTCCAGCCCTACCTCGAGAGTGGTCCTGCGGGGCCGGTTGCAGTAGCTGTACAGCTCTTCCTGGCCCTGTGCAGAGCTGAACTCCTGCAGCTTCTCCCGCTCCAGCTCGTTTGTAGAGAAGTAGGACAAGAGCTCGAAGAAGGAACGCCGCGGCACGCAGGAGATGTCCAGGTAGTGGGTGACCAGGTGCCGGATGGTGCAGGGCTGCGGCAATAGGGCAGGGAGGGATGTGCCTGCAAGACAAGGCAGCGGCAAGAGCTCAGTGCCAGCATCGGGGCAGAACACCCAAGCGCCGCCTGCCTGCTGCCCCCACAGCTCTGGCGCTCCCCAGGATGGGGCAGCAGTGTGAGCAACCCGACTGGGGTCTTGGGCTGGGGAGGCTGCAGGATCCTCCATGCTCTGGGCTGGGGGCTGCAAAGACACAAGGCACGGGTGCAGCCGGGACACTGCTGGGTCCCTCCCATGAGTCACACTGGCCCTAACGTGGGATCCGCACGCACAGAGCGCTGGGAGGGAAGGAGAGCCCCCATGCTGCGAGACAGGCAGAGGTGCTGTATCCATCAGCCACTCCCAACTCCCTGTTAATCAGGTCGAAAGCAAAGGAAAAGCAGAGCTCCAGGCTGAGCCAGAGTTCAGGAGGTTGCCCTGGTCCCAGCAGGGAGGGAAAGGAGCAGTGGGCAGGACCTACCGGGCTCTGTGGGCTTCAGCACAAAGTGTCTGTCTGGATCCAGGCGCAGGAGCTGGCAGAACTGCTGCACGTCTTCGGGGCAGTTCTGGGGCTGGATCATCACTACGTCTCCCGACCGCCAGCCCGACCAGCACCCGCACCAGGGGAGAGGCCACAACTCAGCCAAATTTCCAGTGTCACTAACGTTATGCGCCCTAACCTGACAAGGCAAAGAGAGCTGGTCCATGGGCAAGACCCACACTGCCATACACCCCTGACTTTGTCATGGAGGGGGACAGCACAGCAGGGACCATGTCCATGAGGCTGCAGCCTCAGATATTACTGAAGAAGGGGAGTGGAAGAGGAAGGCAGACTACAGGACACCTGATCCTGCACAGCAAAGCCTGGGGGAGTCAGGAAAATGCTCACGTGATCCCTGAGCCCGTGACATCGAACTCGATGAGCCGGACATCCTGGAAATGGGATTCTGCCGTGAGCCGCTGATTGGACACCACCCGGGCAGCAAAGGGATGCAGCTCAGAGGGAACAGCCCTGGGTGCTGTCGGCTGGAGCAGGCCACCATCAGGGTGCAGGGAGTCCTCAGCCAGGTAGTGCAGGGTGTATTTTGGGGGTAGGCTGTGGGGAGGAGAGCAATGCAGTGTGGTTACCTCCACGCCACAGCTCCTCTGCTGTTGTAGTGCTAGAGGCTGGAAGCAGGGAGAGGCCTGAAGTCTCCCACTGTATCCACCACCCATCGTCCCTGACCGCTGGAGCTGGCCTGTGGTAAGGGAACATAATGCAGTCTGTCAGGAGAAGAAGATCCCAAAGGCTCCAAAACAGGCAGAGGGAGGCTGGCTGGGCACACACGCTCAGCTGGTCTGCCAAGGGCAGAGGCACATCAGGACAGCAGATGGGCAAAACCCTGCCGGGGCAGCTGACACACACACCCAGGGGACAAGGGGACATCCCATCCAGAGAAAGATGGGCCACCCGTGGCCAATTCCAAGGGATACTTCGGACACCAGAAGCTGTGTGGGGAGGCTTCCTGGTCAAAGCAGGGCATGTCTCCACCCCGTAGAACAGCCAAGGAAGCACGGCATTTCACACCAGCCAGCTCCAGCAGCCCCTGCCTACCCTCTGCACTCACCGTACATCTGGACTGATGATCTCAAGGCCAGGAGGGAGCGGATACAAGGCGAGGATCTTGTCCCATAAGGCCAGGAGCCATGGATCGACCACTGCATCTGGCCTGCAAGCGGGAAATTTGGGCTGCAGCAGTGCAGCATCATCCCTCCAGGCTCAAGCGCTGCTACCCCTGCACCCAGACAACGCTGGGCCGCCCCTGGGCAACCACCTCTGCTCCCCTTTCGCTGCACAGTCGCTCCACGCGGTTCCCTTCCAGCTTCAGGTCTGGAAACACATCTCAGCCACTCTAAGCACTCACTCGCTCTCTGGGACCCAACCACTGACCTCTGAACAGAACCACCAACCCCCCAAGCACAACCGGTGGCAGTCACCGACCCCCCGAGCCACACAGAGCCTCTGCCCCATGCGAGGAGAACAGCAGAACGGCTCAGGCTGCTGTAATGCCTGCAGGTATGCAGCTGTGTGACACAGCCGTCCCCTGGTCTGAACAGGACTGGGGCAGAGCCAGGAGACCTTGGCACATGCTGGGGGACGTGGGACACCCTGGAGAAGCAAGCGACCCTGGTTCCAGCACAGGAGAGTTCTGAGCAGAGACCATCAAGTTCACAGAGAGCAGCAGGAGGCTGCTGGCCACGCCTGGGGCGCAGGAGCAGACCCAGAGTGGGAGCAGCACACTGCTGTCCCCAAGGCTGGGGTAAAGCAATATGCAGTCCTGCCATCAGCCCGAGGACAAAATTGTAGTGCACCCTAGGGCTCCCCCCCTCCTGCCACCCCTCCACTGGGCTCTTACCCCAAGTCATGCTGGTCATCTCCCAATGCCACCGGCAGCAGAGGGTTGCCCCCAAGCTGTAGCACCCGTTTGTGCAGCTTCTTCGCAACAAAATTAAACCTGAGCAGAGAATAACCGCAGCTGCAGAAGGCAGGATACCTCCAGCAGGACAGCAAGCGCTGGCTACGTGAGCCAGCACAGGCTGCCAGGGCTACGCCGGAGCAGCACAGAGGCGGGTCCAGCCAGAGCCAGCAGACACGATCTGGCCCAGCGCCCTGCCCAGCCCACGCCTCCATCCTGGGGCAGCTTGGGAGGCAGCGGCTGGGTGCCCCTTG